ATATGATCATTTGCCTTCTCGTTCTGAGTATTAAAGTTTTTCAGTTTTGCTTCTTTGGCTCGCTTGTGGGAACCGAACCCCAGAATCTCCGGGAAAACTTGACCCGATTCGCCCTTTTTCGACTCGTCTTCTTGTTGGGTGTGATCAATTCTGTCAGCTGGAGTAGTCTTTTGGGATGGACTTTGTGGTTTAGTTGCCTGGGCACCCTCCATGGATTTACTCGTCTTGCTCGCGTTCGAAGCGAACAGCTGATTTCCTCTGCAGTTGTTCCGAAACGCCGGTGGCTTCGCTTTTCCACTATGCTCTTCTGTCTTCTTGCCGGTGTAATTATCGTGCTTACGTTAGGGCTAAAATTTTGCCTTTACCTTTCTGATGTTACACCGGAGACCGATTTTTGGGGAGAGGCTCTTGAGGACGAAACTTCACGTTTATCGGAGACTGATAACTCTGAACTTTCCGAATACAACAACGACCAAAATGCTGAATTCCGCCAAGTCCTGCATGTAATTGTTTTCATGGTGTCAGAGTGTATGCTGGCCATCCTTCTGATTATGCATATCGTTTGTACACTGGTAGTGCACGCCATCGACCGTTTGAACTTATTACAGAATAGAGCCTTCTTCGACAAGTCTGTCTGGCTCTATTACATTAACTTGTTTTTTGATTTATCTACACTCTTGATCGACCTTTCCAACCATCTGCATATGTTAGTCTGGAGTCGCATCTTCTCCCTCACTATTCTAATAGTCCTCGTTCAAATACGTGTGACATACGCCGAGTTTGCCCAAAGAGTCCGTCGGCACACTGTCTATCGGAACCTCGTCAAACTCGTCCGTCAAGAATTTCCCTTAGAAAACTATACTTTGAAGGTTTGTGCAAGCAATTTCCGTTCTGTTGCTTTATTTTGCAGTTTTTTTGTCTTCCCTTCCTTGAAAACTTATTCACGTCCGCGCATAGTGCAACCGCATTTATAGAAGGTTCTCATCGAAGGGCTGCCATTTCAGTGCCTATTATATTATTTAAAATTAAAATATCATTCTTGTTTGCTAAGGCCCCTATAAAATGTTTTTTTTAGAGTAACATGATGTTTATTATAACCGTCTGACTCATAATCCAGGTGAATCGGTTCTTATAATTTATGGTTTGGTGTAAGGAAGAGGGCCATTCAATACTCCACAGATTTCCGAGTATTATTATGGCTTTCAGTCAGGGCCTGCGCGACGGACCCCAGCCTAAGAATCTGGCTACTCGACAGTGGCTTAGGGGGAAGTAAGCTTCGGGCACAGTAATCAACAGATTAAAACGACTGCGATGGAAAAATGCCTCGTATGGTGCAAACACAAGCCAGTAACAGAAAAAGTATGTAGCCCTATTTTCGTTAGCGCTATGTAGCAGCTAAAAGGTGCACAATAAACAGCAATTTAAAGGGAGGGGACTGGAAAAAAAAACTTAAGGTGTTAAATCGATACTGATTTGTGCGAAACTGTAAGAAAATGCGTTCTACTGTTCACCAAAAATTGGGAACATCTAAACAGTGATAACTCACACAAAAAACTGCTGCTTTATTTTCCAGTGACAAAAAAAGTTTCCGAAGTAGAGAGCGCGTGTTGTCACTGCATCCTGGCGTAGTCTGTCTCACCAGTTATAAGCCCAGTGCACACTGCACCACTTTCGTGCAATTTCTGGGATGCTTACAAAACCGACGTCCGTGGATTTTATAGATTAAAAGACCTGGTTTTGTGTTATCAATCCTGTTAACTCTCTTCTTTCTCTCGATGAGATCTGTAAATAGTCACCTCTGTGTGATGGTTGAATAATGTGTCGGGGAAGCAGATTCTAAATGAGCAAAAGGCTGAGCGTGAATAGTTAGATTTCAAAAAAGTCGTTCCAAGCGTTTCTAAAAGAAATACCATATTGATAAACCACAGGGTCGCGATGAATTGAGACAATGACACGATACAAATATGAGATTTGCCCTAATGATCCTGGGTCAGAAGTATTTTGTCCCTTTATCTAAAAGGTAACAGACCTCGCACGTTTAAAATGTTGATAGACGACACGTAACCATAGAAAGTTTCGTTTTTGCATAGCTGTCTTCTCTGATTTACTTTCTTTTTTGTCTTCCATTATCTACATCCTGATTTAAACAGATATCGGACTTAATATTCAACAGTATTGTTTTTGTGTGATTCGTGGCTTTAAGTTATCCTTAAAATGGAAGCCTAGTTGCGCGTTGTGCATTTTTTATTGATTTTCTTGCCAGAACGTTTCCTCGTAATAAATATATCAGACGGTCCGTTTTCCTTCAAATAGTCCTCTGCCTCTGAAGCTAATGATCATGGATCAACCAGATCATCGCAAGAGGAAGAGGATGCTCCAGAATTCTGTGCTATTTGCTGGGATCCGCTCTACACTTGGAGGAAGTTGCCTTGTAATCATTGCTTTCATGAGACCTGTCTTACATCCTGGATGGAACAGAATCCTAGTTGCCCCACATGTAGACGACCTCTCCTTACAACGCATGCTCAGCGGCGACCCACTGCTCAGCCTCGCACAATTGCAACAGCTCTCCGTGATATCCTAGGATTATCCGATACGGACACATTGCCTCCAATGCAAAATAATCAATTTGGCATACCGCAAACGCAGACTTTTCGCCAACAATTTCCAAGGACTGGATTGCCTACCGTTCGAGGAATGGCTGTCAGGCTAAGGCAGCGCGGTGATCCGATTACTGGAGCAGCTATTGAAAATCAAGGGCCTAGTTTAGACCTGAGTATTCGACTAAGCTTAGGTGGTAATCCGGTAGTGACACCTGTTACAAACAATGTCCCAAGAGATGACATACCGTCAAACCAGCAACAAAATCCACTTCAGCAGGCGACTGCTCCTGGGACTGAAGGATCTACTTCTTTGGTATGTTAATTGAGAATGTCTTCTTTTTTACTTTGAATACCCCACAGTCTAAAGTCAGCCATAATTTGTCTTGGTTATAGTCTACAAATTGCTTAATTGCTTTTGTCAGGTGTGCAAACAGAGATTTTTACATTTCTGCCAAAATGTCCACGTCTTCAAACCGCCAATTGTTTATTTGTTTACAAAAACATTGAGTCATGCATGTGTGTGTGGAGTATATGTAGCTCTCAAACACGTCTCTAATCGTGATGACCCACTGTTGCAATTAGGCCTTACTAGTCTGCTCTTCAGTACTCTGTTATTCCGTCCTTGCCTCTTCTGGGTCTTCCGTACTTGGCTGACTTCGAAAGTTAACGCTTCATTTATTCGACATGACCGTTCTTGCCCATGCTATAAATAAGTCTTTCTGGTCTTTTGATTTACCCCTAAACATTTCTGCCAGATTTTGACTGTCTCTGCCCTCCTTGTCTGTGGAGACTTGTGGTGACGTCGTAGAACAGTCTTTTCAGCAATTAGTAACTTGAAATATGGCACGTCCGCTCTATCGACCTATATCTGCATCAACATTACAAGGATCCTGGGCGCCCAGGTCGATTACAGAAACTCGGTTTCTGAGATCCGTTCCTGCTACCTCATTTTCATGATGATAGTTCGATCGTCCTGAATAATGAGGTCCACCACTTTCCAACAACGTGAAGCCAGTAGTGATTTGTGCATGAATTTGTCTGTATTGATCCATGTTTGCACTGCTTAAATTCGCACATCGACCTCCGATTACAAGACAATTTAACAACAACTGGGGATTGAAGCCGACAAGGCTAAGCGACTCACCCGTGCATGACATACACGACCTGGTCCCTATTCCACACGTACCAGGCTTTGGTCCATGTTTTCAGATCTTAAGTGAGTGAGAA